GGCCACAGTAGGCTTGACGTTTGAGAGATAACATTCCCTTGCCGTCTTCTGGTCCCCATTTAGTGATCCCACTGACCCATCACCCCTCTCAAATTTTAGGAGCATGAGGGATGGGATGATGACAGCCTTAGATTCATTAAGGGCAGGACGACCCAATATCAGGTTATATGCGGCCAGTTCTTCAACAACCAGAAACTTGATGACCATATGGCGTCATTCCCCCTTCTCTCCTAGCCGGATGGGTAGGTCAATCCTCCCCACCAGATGCACTACTCCACCCCCAAAACCAACAAAAGGATGAGAGACTTTGTGCATGCTACTGGGCTTGTACTTGAGCTTCGCCAAGCACTTGTAACAGATAAGGTCAGACGACCTCCTGGTGTCAATAAGGATCCGGCTTACTCTTTAGTTGGCGACCTTGCATTCGATGACTATGGGATCATCATGTGGCCGCCTAACCTTACCCCTATCCCTATCAGTGATAATAAACTCAAGAAAGGTGTCTTTCGACGCCTAGTCCTCTTCGACTAAATTGACATCCAGCCGCCTGATGTAGTCTTTGGTGCCCCGGATGGTTGGACCCCCTCCAGCAAAACCGCCTGCTATAGTATAGATTTGTTCTTCATCAGTGTCCGAACTAATAGCAAGTTGGTATGCTTTCTTGGACGGCTGTCCACCGTTAGTCTTTAGGTTCACCTTGGACTTTAGAATGTTGGACTTCAGTACCCCTATATCAGCCAGACGGTCCAACGACCGCTTGAGGCTATAGCAGTCATTGGTGTCATGGCCTATTTCCTCATGGAAGTGACAATATTTGTCTTTGTCCCGACTTTTGACGGAACTTTTCATTGCAGCCGATTTATCAATTGTCACCCAGTCTTTGATCTCCATGAGGATGGATTAACAATCCTTGTTGAACTCGTACTTAGGGACGTACGGTTTTAACTCTTTCTTCTTCTTCTGGGATGGCTGACCAGAATTGTTCGCCACCCAGACTTCTTTTTTTTTCTTACTCTCTTCTTTTTTAGCCGGCTGAGCAAACCAACTCTCTTTTTTGTCAGACTTTTTAGGGTCCGACGGCTACTTGATGGCACAAAGCTTAGTCGCCTGTATATAGGCTTCCGCCTCCACCAAAGCCTCTTGGAGGGTGGCAACCCTCTTTCTGACAAGGTCGAACTTAAAGGTCGACCCGTCTTTCAGACCTTTAAAGAAGTTTGTATAAGCCACTTCGTCAGACAGCCCTTGAATCTGAATTTTCATCAGATTAAACCGCCTGACATAGGACCTTAGCCCTTCTCTATCTCCCTGCCGTATAACACCCAAGTCTAGGCTTTTTTTTTTTTGCAGGGATGTTCATAGAGAAGTTGGAATTAAACAAGTACGCCAGCGTCTTGAAGTTGTTTATGCACCCGGCTGGCAGGTTGCCAAACCATCGCTAGGAAATGTCCTTCAATGTAGCCGGGAAGCACCTGCACTAAGTGGCATCGTCCAACTCATGTAGGTACATGAGATTGGTGTAGGCCATCAGGTGGTCTTTAGTGTTGGTGGTACCATCATAAGCACCCACCAACACATTTTTAACCTTGGCCGGATGGACCGCCTCGGTTATTTCCTTGGAGAACGCAGAAGGTTGTTCCCCAAGTTTGAGCAGACGGAGCTGCCAATCCAAAGGTTGGACATTCTGTGCCACCTGACCCCCAAACAGAGCTGCCTGCATATATTGTTTCCCATACGACATGTATGGCTGCTTAGGCACATACTGAGCCGAATGGATTATCTGAGGGCCAGAGTGGACGGACAGGCCGCTTGACTGTCCCTCTCGGTTTGATTGCGAATACCTCATTGAAGTATTCTGAAAGCTGTCTAAGTAAGTCGACGTTGAGGCCGACTCAGATAGCTGTTGACTTTTCTTTTGCTGAATTAGCATTGGGGCATCCGAATAAGTCTTCTTTGATCCATCCGGCTGGATTTGTCGGATGACCTTTCTTTTCCCTACTTCAAGGAAACGGAGTTTGGATAAATCAATCATGGGCCCATCTATCCCCTTTGGCTTAGGGTGAGGGGTAGGCACACGATCCTTCACATGCTTCTTCCCTGAGGGAGAAGGCTTCTTGGCCGACTGACCCCTGTTGGCGCCAGTTGTCTTCTTGTTTATCAAGTCCTTGATTTCCCCTTTGAAACTTGTCATGAATTTCTTGAGCTCGTCTCTTGTAACGGGGGCAACACCTTCCACCGCCTGGGTTGGTCCATCCGGTTTGACGGTTGGGTAGCTTGGACCAGCTTTGTCCTCGCCCCGTCCCCTTGTTTCCTTGGAACGGGTACGCCTTGCTCTGAGTGACCCGTCTGGGGCCACATAGGTGTCGACATTGAGGTCGTCACTACTGTCCTAGTCTGTATAGACCTCTACTCTGGCCAAAGGTCATTTCTCATTAGTAGGCAGTATAGACTCATGCGAAGCCATCTTAGAATTTCTCTCCCCAAAGACGCCGCCAAATGTTTCGGGGTTTTTTGATGTCCTGCGGGAGAGTTAAAATTCCAAAACTGGTCTCTGAACGCCTGTACCTGCAAAATAACGGAGATTCTGGGTGGGTGGAGTTCCGCCTCCAACGATCAAGTTAGAACGTGTATGGAGTCTGTAAAAAGTGCGGAAAGTAAAGTATTTTCTCGGATTCTGAGAGAATATCTGCAATTAATGATTGCTCTATTTTTTTGTGTATCTTTCTGAATGTGTCCCATGATGGGAACATCTCCCTATTTATAGGGTCTCGAAGTGCGTGCCACCATCCTAAGTTACGGAAACCTAGGAATGGTGGGCTTTCTTGGGAATTGGGCCAGAAAAGCCGCCATTCTTCCCAATCATTGGGGATGCCACGTGTTAGCAGGGGATTGGTTTTCTGAGAACCTCTCCTGGAGTGACACGTGTCACCTTCCTATTGGACCACATGTCCTGGGTAAAAATACCCAAAACAGGTGGGGTCGCCCCGGTTGATCAAGCTGATCAACCAAATATTGTCAATCAGTTGCATATGTGGGCCCTCCCTAAAGATATTAGTTTTATATTGATATGTACCGATCGTGACTTGGCTAAGGCAACGGACAACTTTAGGACGTTAGAAAGGCCATTAGTAACGTTGTCACGTCGTAAACTAACTTTCCATCCCTAAAAAAAATAGTGGATCAACAAAAGATTCGTGGATCTTCATTTGCATACCTCTACTAGTCAATTTGACCATTGGAAGAGATGATAGAGCTCGCACCAGAGAAGATGTTGAAGATCGGTCAGCCAATTTAAACTTAGACGCCATTGCATTGCTCATTTAGCTTGGTAAGTTAACACTTTCATGTCCAAACAACAATTAAAAATTTAAAATAATATATAGCTATCAAATTACATAAAGCATAAGAACACGTACGAGGTACGAAGCGTTGTTCAATATCTGCGCTAATTGGACGAAACTCCCTACAATAGATTACACCATTGCGACGTGCTTTTTAGAATCAACTACCACATTCCCTTCACCGCTCCAACTCGCGCTACCCTCAAACGACTCAGGTACAATTCGTAATTGTGAACACCCTCATACTCCAATTTCTGCATCAAGGTTCAATTTCATGCATTTTCGACATGGTTTCAGATTAAGGTTTCGAATTTGGGGGAAGTGACAATTGTGGCTAATTGCGAAAATTCAAGTAACGGAGGTTAACACCACTGACTTGGCAGCGTTAGTTTGACTAACCCCAACGTTTGCCATATCAATGTGCCGTCTTCAATGATATTTACTGTGCTGACAGCACTACCCTTCATTAAATGCACAAACAGACGATTTTACCCCTAGATTTACAAGGTTTGTAACTCAGTTAGCCTGATGAACATGAATTTCCTCCTTTTGGGTGTAACAATATTATTCACACACTTCACTTTGACTACCTAAATATAATTACGTATGATCTTGTTTGAATCGTTTAATGTATATTTTATTAATATATCAACTCTTTATAATTTTATAATATCGATAATTGGAGATATTAATTGTTAAAATAGTGTGTTAACAAAAGTGAAATAAAAAAGTTATCAACTAAAAAAACGGAGGTTATTTTACTAGTAGTAGTATAAAATTTAGTTTCAATATAGCCAATAGTAAATAATAATGGTACATATAATGATAGGGGGTTGTTAAACGTCGCTCGCATTTTTTCCTTGAAATTCCGTATTTACCCCTCGTATATAATACTCACGCCACTCACTCACGACACTTACAACACATTTCACGCTCGATAAACTTAAAAAATCTGAAATTAAAAAAAAACAGAAAATTCACAAAAATACCTAATATTAACTAATAATACTAATACTAATACTAATTATTCAAATTATCACAAAAATAATAATAATCACAATAAATATTATAATTATCATACAAAAATTACATTAATAAATTTGATTAATCAATTTAAAAAAAAATCGTTTTGATTAATTAATCAATAAAAAAAAACAAAAACAAAAATATTGGACATCCGCCTAAAAAATTTGGATCCTCCGTGGTGGATCCGCCTAAAATTTCTGAATCCACCATGGAAAATCCGGAAATTCTAGGCGGATCCAGATTTTTAGGCGGATGTACGCTTTTCAAAAAATAAAAATAAAATTTCGAGGACTTACAGGATCCTCCGACGATGCCTCCGGTGTACGATCGTTGTCGTCATCCATCGTCCTAAACCCGTCGCTAAAGCTTAATAAATTTTTTTTAAAAAAAAATCGGATTTTTGGTGGTGGGCTCGGGAATTTTGGGTTGGATGTCGTGGGGTTGGATGTGGTGGGCTCGAGAATTTTTTTTAACCAAGTGGTGGATCGAATGTGCTCGGGAATAATATTGAAATGCTCGAAAATCTTTTTAACCAAGTGGTGGAGCCTTATATAGTCCAAGTTATAAAAAGGGCAATATGGTCTTTTCATGTCAAAATGAGAGCTGACGCCTGATAAATTAAAAGCGACGTCTTGTAAAATAATATAAGACCTGGAGTATAGCCCTAGCCAAAAATTAGTTAGGCAATTAAACACTCCATCTAGAAATAACCGGCACCTTCTCGTTCAAAAAACACAAAACCAAAAAACCTCTGTTTTTTCCCATACACTCGCACTCTCCTCACTCTCTGCAAAACCTAGTTCCCCCATTTTCTCTCTCCTCTCCAACAATGGCGGCGATGATGCAGCCCCAGATCATACTCCTCAAGGAAGGCACTGATACTTCGCAAGGCAAAGCGCAGCTAATTAGCAACATCAACGCTTGCACTGGTATCGCTGATGTTGTTCGCACTACTCTAGGTCCTCGTGGTATGGACAAACTCATCCATGACGATAAAGGTAATACCACCATTTCTAATGATGGTGCTACAATTATGAAGCTTCTTGATATTATTCATCCTGCTGCTAAGATCCTTGTCGATATCGCCCGTTCTCAAGATTCTGAGGTACCCCTTTTCGTTTCAGTAATTTTTTTAATTTTTTTGTTAAGTTTTGGAGATTTCATTTGTTGAAATGTGTCGCATTTTTACTACTTTGTGTTAATTTAGCTAGATTTAGTGATTGGATTGATTGTTTAATTAATTGAAGTGGTTGAATGAAGAAGTATGTTAACAAATTAGTGATTAAATTCTGATGAAGTGTTGCTTTTTTTTTCAAAAAATAAAATTTATAAATGTTTTAGGGTTTGGTTCGGTTTTTCCTGAGTAAATTTGATTATTATTGTTTATGCTGGGGGTTGGTGTTTTGATTATTTTAGAACTAGGGTTTATTTGGTTTATTATTGTTAATATTAGGGTTTGGTTTGGGGTTGGTGTTTTGATTACTCTAGGCATTTTCTTTTCATTTTTCGACGGTTTTATGATATGCCCTTGTTTAAAATACTTTGCATTTGCACTAGTATTTGTTGAATTGACTGGATTTAGACTTGTTTAAGTTTTTGGAAGTAGATGGAATGAAATTTGCGAACTTTTCATTGATTTAAGTTTGAATTAGTATATAATTATTTATAAATATATACGTATGCTGTTGATATTACTCATAGTGTTGATTTTGGGATTTTATTTTTTAAAATAAGGAGAATTGGCTTAAAATAATCCCAACTATTAGCAGTGGGTGGAAAATAATACGACCTCAGCTATTTGCTTTCAGCAGTAACACCTTTTATAGTATATGTGCAAAACGGTACGCTAGCCATCGAAAAAGGTATCTCAAGGAATATTTCGTCTATATTCATTATAAATTATTTTTATATCAATTATTAACTTTTTTTTTCAAAATACATAATTCCTACATTTTTATTTACAATAACACACTACTTTGACTTTCACACACACTATAAGAGAGATATTAGACTAGATAAACGGACAAATTAATTAATAAAATTTTACAATCAATAAGAAGAAAGTGTTATGTTTTTATAAAATAAAAGAGAGAAAAAAGAAAGTGTACGTGTTAAGTTGGTACGATATAAATTTATAGCATAATTTGTTCACTTACATAGTCTAATCACTTTTTCAAATAGCTTAGCATGTCAAAAAGGTAGGTTGTCAGCATAAAAACAAAAGAAATATTATGTTAATTTTGGTTTTTTAAACATTTTTTGAAACTAATTATATCAATATAATAATGCACTTAAATACCCTATTTACTTTTGTTTGATAGTAGTAATTTATTTCCTTAGTGAAATTAATTTACTAGCCTAACAATGGGCATGACATAATTATTAATTTGGGTAGGATGAAATTATTAACGTAAAATGTATTTTGAAAAAAAAAATACTTTAATATAAAAAATTATAATTAAAATAATATAATAATGAATATGGACATAATAATATTTCTTAGGATGCCTTCTTTGGTGGCTAGCGTGCCATTTTGCACATATAGCACAACAGTTTGTACTTTGGATAGCAAATAGTTAAGGTTGTATTATTTTGCACACACCGTTAATACTTTAGATTATTTTTAGCCAATTTTCCTTTAAATAATGGTTTTTGTTTGAAACTTTTTTTTTTACCATTTTTCTCATGGTGTTTTATTTATATGAGGTGAGCATTGATTGATTTATTCAACCCTACCTGACTAACTTTAAGTGGAATTCATTTTAATTATCTAGTCTGCTTTAAAACATCTTTTCATTTTTTGTAGATGCAATTACATAATAACCCTGAATTGTTGGATATATTGATAAATCAATCAAATGGTTGGATTATTCTCTGGTTATCTGAATTCGGATGATGTATTTACATATATTAATAATATGTTATTTGTAGGTTGGCGATGGTACTACAACAGTTGTATTACTAGCTGGTGAATTTTTGAAGGAGGCAAAGCCTTTTGTTGAAGATGGAGTCCATCCACAGAATTTGATTCGAAGTTATCGAATTGCTTCCCAATTGGTATTGCATCGTAATTTGGAATTATTGTTGTTGTTTAATCTTCTTGTTTCTACATGATGAGTCTAATACTTGAATCAATATTCTCTGGAAATTTAATATATTTGCAGGCTATTGAGAAGGTTAAAGACTTGGCTGTCAGTATTGAAGGAAAGAGCTTAGAAGAAAAGAAAGGCTTATTAGCTAAGTGTGCAGCGACAACACTCAGCTCAAAGCTTATTGGCGGAGAAAAAGATTTCTTTGCAAACATGGTTGTTGATGCGGTTCTTGCTGTTGGAGTTGATGACAGGTTGAGCATGATTGGAATTAAAAAGGTAATTATCTCTATTGGTGACTTTGTGAATTATATTGATGTGAGCTTTCTGATTGTCTGCAACTTCTGATCACTGCACAGTCTGCATTCTATCTGCAGAGTTATATAGGCAAATATGCAGTCCTTCATTTTACTTACCTTTCTCTAAGTTTTATTTTAATTGCCCCTCCCAGAGTGTTGTATATCTCAAAAAATTTGATTTTAAAGATCTCAAATTAGATTATAAAATGTACAACCAGGTGATTGGTGATACCGACTGCAACTTCCTGTTTCTGATACTGTACAATTTAGCTGGTACTTTCTTATACGAAGTGACTTTCTTCATGCACAAGCCTGCCAAATTCACCAATTCTACTTGTATGCACCTGTGCTACAGGATTATAGAGAATATTATTTTTGTTAATTAATATAAATGAGGATAGATACAACTTTTGAGAAAGTTATTATTTGATGATTCTTCAATTTGTAAAAAAACTCCAGGACAGTGTATAATTTTAGGTTTGGGTTTTGGAGGGTTGTGTTGAAAAAAATGACATTCTTATTTAACCTATATTGCTGTTTGGTTGTCTACTCTTTACGTTTGATCTTTTCTTTAATTTTCTTTTCTGTTATCAATGAATTTCTTAAGTTTTTATGCAAACTAGCTAGGTCGTTTTTGGTCATGGTCATTCATTACTTACAATTATTATTGTGAACTGTAGATTCAAACTAGAAATGGCTAGTGTGCATGTGATTTTGTCTTTATGTCTGTTGGAGCTATTGTGGATGCAAATTCTCTGTTTTGGGTCAGCAGTTGCAAGTAGGAATATGATTTTTGGTGAAGTGAAATAGTGCATCCAGCATCTCTGTAGTTTTATGGTGGACTTTGTATTCTTTAATGTTTTGGTCTATGGGGTTTAATAAAGTGTTATTGAATTATGCAAATGTCGACTACTTCTCAATTTAGATCTTGTTGATTTAAAGTCTGTTCCACTCTAGACCCACTGACCCACAAAGATATTATTGAGGAAAAGCAATAGTATGAATGGTAACTACTGCTTCATTCTGTAGGAGTGCCAACTTGACTATATTGCAAAACCTGAATATTTTTATTAGCTCCTTACACGTGTTTTATTGCCTAAGGAAGATGATGCAATTTTTGACAGTTTATATTTAATGGAAGGATTTGAGTGATTTTAATGGTGGAAATTTGAAGGATAGTCTTAGAAGGCAACGACTTCTAAGTTTGATCTTAGGAGCAACGATCCTAAAACCCTAGTTAACAACTAGTTCGAACCTTAACAAAGTTCTCTTCGAGTTAAAACTCAACATCTGATTTTTATTTCATAAACGTCCGACTATAATTGTTGACATGTATCAAATATATATAGGAAAAATAAATCTAACCTACTTGCCCTGCAAGCAAACTAAATAAAAAGCCCTAATAATTAATTAATGAATCAAGAAAGCCCACTAATTAATTAACACAACTTTGGAAGCCCAAGGCCCCATAACTACTACTAAGAAAATAATAAAAACATTATTAAAAACTCACTTGTAAAACCCCTACTTTAAGAGTAAGGTAAAACCAAGAGAGTACTAAATAAAGCAATAAAAATAGTTATAAGAAAGGGGACTCGATTCACATCAGAAGAGATCTGAAGTGCACAAGTAATTGCTGCTATTACCTTACCATACCCCTCTTTACATTCAGATTAATACAAGGCCAGGGAATCAAATCAATCTGTGGTGTGGATGGGGGATTAAATAAAACTGATTTTTTGAACCATGCTGAAGGAACTTAGTGAAATGACCTTAATTTTTAGAGAAGGGGTGCCAATGAGGCTGTCCTTCTGAAAAATGTGACCAGCTTCTGGACTTCTGTTAGAAGTTACACTTCCCCTAACCTTATCCCTTAAGGAACCGCTTGCAAATTTCAGCAATCACTTGCTCCTATACTGCTTAATGTTCTTATATTCTTTTTCTTACATATATCACGCACAAATACATTTGTGAACATGTACATGTATTTGACCCTTTTTATATGCCTCAAAAGAATTCTGGTTAACATTTTCTGGATGCCTTGATGGTGAGATGGGGCTAATATGGCTGGGTTTTCATGTAGGTACCTGGAGGCAATATGCGAGATTCATTTCTTGTCAACGGTGTAGCATTTAAGAAGACGTTTTCTTATGCTGGTTTTGAACAACAGCCTAAGAAGTTTGTTTCACCTAAGATACTTCTGTTGAACATTGAGTTGGAACTGAAATCTGAGAAAGAAAATGCAGAGATAAGGTAGATGTGGTTGGTAAATTTATGTTGACATATTGTATGGATTTGCTTTTCTTCATGCTCACTCCTCTCTGCTGCAGGCTTTCAGATCCATCCCAATATCAGTCAATTGTTGATGCGGAATGGAATATCATTTATGACAAATTAGACAAATGTGTGCGGACAGGTGCTAAAATTGTTCTTTCACGGTTGGCAATTGGAGACCTAGCAACACAGGTATTGACTTTTGAGGCCTCTTTTTGATGTTTTTATTTATCTTTTTCTTGTAATGCATTTACCTGGTAACCTGGTTTAATGATGACCAAATTGAGCAATACTCTTTAAAGTTTTGATAGACAAGTTTCGAATCCCTTTGTCATTGCAATCTATTGGAACGTGTCATGTTTTGGTTTCATCAATGTGAGCTATGTAACAAGTGAATACAATATATGTCATGTTAGAACTATGGAAGATGCCTTAGAGTCAAAGAATTTTAAAAAGGGCCGAACTAGGGAGGAGGGATGTCAATGAAAATTTAAGATGGATATTGTTTTTGAATTTTATATTGCTTGAGGTTAATCATGCTTGAGAATGTGGGATTGTGAAGATATTATAAGTTGCATCGTTAGTTTAGTGTAGCTATATGTTATAATCAATATTTTTTAAGGTGATTTGGTGACAAAATATATATAAGCGCAAATAATATTGTATAGCTATTAAATTACTTATAATATGGTTGAGTTGTAACTGGTCAAGAGAACTCAATATTGCATTTACTTGGTGGTGAAGATGAGAATGCTTGGAAGTGCAATCATACTAGAAAAGATAGCATAACAATGGAACAATAAGAGATAACTTGAGAGGCGACATGTATTTGTAATAAGTTAGACGGAGTAGGCATTTTGATGTCAAGAAGAGGTAGACCTAAGAAGAATCAATGATGAGGTTGTGGTAAGACTTGCCCTTCTTAGAGCTTATAGAAGGCATGGCTTTGTAAAGATATTGTAAGTTGCATCGTTAGTTTAGTGTAGCTATATGTTATAATCAATATTTTGTAAGGTGCTTGGTGACAAAATATATATAAGCGCAAATAATATTGTATAGCTATTAAATTAATTATAATAGGGTTGAGTTGTAACTGGTCAAGGTGGTGAAGATGAGAATGCTTGGAAGTGCAATCATACTAGAAAAGATAGCATAACAATGGAGCAATAAGAGATAACTTGAGAGGCGACATGTATTTGTAATAAGTTAGTCGGAGTAGGCATTTTGATGTCAAGATGAGGTAGACCTAAGAAGAATCAATGATGAGGTTGTGGCAAGACTTACCCTACTTAGAGCTTATAGAAGGCATGGCTTTGTAAAGAAAGAGTGGCATGATCACAAGAGGTAAATGTTGTGTATCATCTCCTATCCTTTCCTTCTCCCTCTTTTTCTTTTGTCGTGATACCTTTGATTACTTTGTACTTTTACATATTCTATTTTATTTTTACTCACAATATCTAAATTTGTAATACATTGATATGTATTTTTTCATTGGTGTTTGTAATGTCACTTCCTAGCATTCTTAGTAGTCTACTTGGTTATTATTGTTAGCTACTTCTAAGTTGTAGTCAATTAAACTTGTTTATAAGTTTGTGACGTACACTTTTTTTTGTCTATAAATAATGTTTGTATTGTTGGGGGAAACTAATCGGAACAACATAAACAAATAATGGATCTAGGCGTGTACGAAGAACACTTTCCTAAAAACGTTATTCGCCCCAAACGAAGCTATAATGAACACGTTTTTGGGACACAAAGATTTATACACTCAAGACGTTTTTGGGATACAAAGATTTATACACTCAAGAGCGTTTAGCACTAACGATTATGAGTTCCTAGAGTTTTTGGGGGAGACAGAAAAGGGATAAAAATTGAATATACGTTCATTCAACCAAAAATTGATCTTTTATAGATCAATAATGACGGTTATTATGAAAGGATAAGAACGTACATAACTGTTGAATAATATTTAATTAATTATTAAAAAATATTTAATTAATAATACCGATAAAGATAAATTATCGTATTAGTCCGTGTCAAGTGGCTAAGTGCTAAGTCTTCGATTATAAATATATATAAGCCACTTAGCCCACTTGCAAAACACCACTAAGGCCCATCTCATAACTCATATCCAATTTTTTACAATATAAATAAAAGTTTTACATTTTTCATTACATTTGCCAACATAAGGAATTAAGTTCAGATTATCCATATCATTCATATTTTAAAATTAACATGTCCTAAACGATGATGCCACAAAGAAAACGAGTCAAGCAAGTGAGCAGAATTAACAACAGCTTTATTAATAATGTTCAGTTTAAACATGCCATCATGGAGATAGCCCTTTCCAACAAACACCCCACCCTTAGAGATTAAAAAAGTATCAGATTCAAACACAAGCTTAAAACCAAAACGGTTCAAAGACTACCCGATACAAGATTTTTCCTAATTTCAGGAACATGATAAACATCATTCAAAGATATTTCCAGAAGTAAACTCAATCACAATGCTGCCCTTTCCAAGCACTTGGGTGGTGGACGGATTTCCCATGTACAGGACCGTTCCTTCTTCCATAGGAACATAAGAAGCAAACAACGACTTGTCCTTGCATACATGTTTTGTTGCACCGGAATCAATCCACCAACAATTGTCATCCTGAATCATATTGACTTCCGACAGCAACAAACTTCTCCTGTTTCTCAGAGTTTTTCTGTTCACCCGTGTTGTGCTTGTTACCTTTGTTCTTCTTTTTCGGACAGTCTTTCTTGAAGTGATCAAGTGATCAGGGCTGCCACAATTCCAGCATTGTTTCTTCTTCATATTTTTCTGATTTTGCTTGTTCGGTTAGCCCTTTCTCTTCTTGCTTTGTGCCTTACTGGATTCTCCAGTTTCTACAACATTAACACTAGAAACATGTTGTTCCTTAGTGTCTTCCTGTTTACGAAATTCCTTTTCAACACGAAGATTGTTAGCAAGTTCTTTAAGAGAAAAATCTTCTTTCTTATGTTTTAAACTATTTTAAAATCCTTCCAAGAAGGGGGCAATTTATCAACAATACTTGAAACAACAATAGATTCATCCATATCCATGTTATGCTGTTTAAAGGGACCAAGAATACGTTCAATTTCATTGAACTGTTCCATAACTGACCTATTGTCATGTAGGAATTAAATTGGGAAACAATAAATTTCTTACTTGTAGCGTCTTCTTTCATGTATCTGGATTCTAACATCTCCCATAATTCCTTTGCACTGGAAATATGCAAATAAGTATTGAACAGAGTATCCTCCATGGCATTGAGTATGAGGCCTCGACAGATGTAATCGTCGTTTTCATGCTTCAGCCTTGCCCGACTCTGTGCCACGGTTTCATTCTCTTCCTCTCGCCTGAGTCTGAACACACGCCACATTAAGGGTTGTCAACAGTCTGCCAGCGCCTAAAATTGCCTCCATTGAACCTGTCAAGTTTGACAAAGTTCGTAGCCATGTCTTTCATTGTTGATGTCGTATTCCAGAATAACGTTTTAGATTGATTATTTGCTGCATAGTAAGGATGAGACACTTTGACAAATTTAAGATTTATAAACCAGAAGTAGAATTGCATTGTGAATCTTTTATTAAGTGCTTAAGAGCAGATAGGGGAGGAGAATATTATAATCCTTCATTTTACCAATCAACTGGAATTGTTCATGAAGTTATGGCACCCTACACACCTCAACAAAAGTGTGGCTGAAAGGAAAAATAGGGTTTTACTGAAATAGTTAATGCAATGTTGTCAATTTCAGGATTAGAAAAAGGTCTGCTTGTCATATTTTAAATCGGGTTCCAAATAAGAGAAATAAGAAAACTCCTTATGAACTTTGGAGCAAAGAAGACCTAACTTGACATACTTGAAAGTATGGGGGTGTAGAGCAATTGTTAGAGTTCCTGAACCTAAAAGAAAGAAACTAGGTGAAAGAGGAATTGAGTGTATTTTCATTGGTTATGCTATGCATAGTTAGGCATTTAGATTTATAGTAATTGAGCCAAATAGTTTTATTTCGGTTAATATTGTCATTGAATCTAGAGATGTCGTATTTGATGAAAATAGGTTCACTTCAATTCCTAGGCCTAAGGACTTAGTTGTAAACACCCAGTTGGAACAAGCTAGTGAAGCTCCACAAGAAGTTAGGAAAAGTAAAAGAATTAGAAAGGCTAAAGATTTTGGACCAGATTTCGTAACCTTTCTAGTAGAAGGATCAAGAGAAACAGTTTGTGATTGTGTTCCTCTATGTCTAAACAAGTAAACATAAAGGATGATCCTTTGACTTTCAGATGCTTCTTTTTGGAAAGAAGCGGTAAATGACGAAATGGATTCGACCATGGGTAACAAAACCTGGAAATTGGTGGATCTTCCACCAGCTTGCAAACCAATTGGTTGCAAGTGGATTTTCAAAAGGAAAAGAAAAGTCTATGGTACAATCGAAAAATTCAAAGCACGGTTGGTAGTGCAAGGTTTTACCCAAAAAGAAGGGATTGACTACTTTGATACCTATGCTCCCGTAGCTAGGACAAGTACAATCAGGATGCTTCTTGCTTTAGCTTTTATCCATGATTTAGTAATTCACCAAATGGATGTAAAAATTGCTTTTCTAAATGGTGAATTAGAAGAGGAGATTTACATGAAACAACCCGAAGGGTTTGTTGTTCAAGGACAAGAGCACAAGGTCTGCAAGTTAAATAAATCTTTGTATGGACTAAAGCAGGCACCAAAACAGTGGCATCAAAATTTTGACGAAGTTGTTCTTGGGTATGGTTTTTTCCATTAATGATGCCGATAAATGTGTATACACTAAGTTTAATGGAAATAAGGGTGTCATCATATGTCTTTATGTTGATGACATGTTGATTTTTGGCACTGAGCTTGATGAGGTTGAAAATACCTCTGAAATTTTTTCCATGAAGGACATGGGAAATGTGGATGTTATTCTTGGAATAAAAATTTCAAGGAATGCTAATGGATTGTGTTTATCTCAATCACATTACATTAAAAAGGTGTCAAGGAAGTTTGATAACTTTGATAGCAAACCTGTTTCTACACCTTTTGATCCGAGTATGAAGCTCACAAAGAACAAGGGAACTCCAATCTCTCAATTGGAGTATGCAAGAGTAATAGGCTGCTTGATGTATGCTATGACATGCACAAGGCCGGACATTGCTTTTGCTGTCAGTTTACTAGTAATCCAAGTGATGCCCATTGGCATGCTATAAGAAGGGTGCTTAAGTATCTAAAGAAAACAATTAAGTTTGGATTATGCTTTTGTGGTTATCCTTCGGTTTTAGAAGGGTATTCGGATGCTAGTTGGATCACTAGTAGTGATGATCATGCTTCCAATAGTGGATGGATTTTCTCTCGGTGGGGTGCTATTTCCTGGGGTTCCAAGAAACAAACTTGCTTGGCAGATTCATTGTGATAGTGAAGCAACATTGGCAAGGGCATATAGTCAAGTTTACAATGGTAAATCAAGGCACATTGGTTTACGTCATAGTTATGTTTAAGGTCTTATTCAAGATGGAGTCACAACTGTGGATTTTGTGCGCTCTTGGCCGATCCTTTAACTAAAGGACTCGCAAGAGATATGGTTAATAAAACAAGTAAAGGGATGGGTTTAAAGTCCATTGTGATCACCAATGATGGAACCTCAACTTGACACTCTTGATTACCCTTGAGTCTTAAGTAAAATGAGTCAAAGTACGTTATTTATGTGGTTGTAGAGCACTAATCGTTGTATTTTCATCCCGACAATCATAGTGCTTGTGTTGGTTCCCATTTGTATTAAAGTAGGGTGAGCATAGCTCTTAATAAACTTCAGATAGAATTTATTTGAATTGTTATATAAGTGTTGTAATATTTCAGTATATTATATTGTTTATAATAATGTTGTGCTTATATATTTAAATATTTCTATTATAATACTTTAATGAAAGTATTGTGAAGTTTACCTAAGTGAGCGTAAAGTTTGGTCGTTTTAAAGGAGTTTTAGGACTTTTAACTCCGAGGCGCTCATGATTGGATACAGGACACATGGCCTTTAAATGTGTCGGCTTTTACTAGATTTTAAGGGGATTGAAATCTCGTGTGTAATTTGGATTTAATTAGTCAAAGAGGATCACTGGTTCAAAGCATAGTCTACCAAGTCATCCTGACTATTTGAAAACAAATTTACTAAGTGAGGGCTCAATCGTAAGACACCTTTATTTATGCATAAGGTTTCTAGAGTTTCCATTAATTTTAGAAATGGTGGGGGATTGTTGGAGTATTTCCAATAATAATGTTATGTGTGGGTTGGAAATAATGTTATGTGGGGGAGGTTATCCCACATGGAAAGAATAAGAAGGTGATGCATTGTTTATATTGTAAACAATTGGATATGAGTTATGAGATGGGCCTTAGTGGTGTTTTGCACAAGTGGGCTAAGTGGCTTACATATATTTATAATCAAAGACTTAGCACTTAGCCACTTTACACGGACACGGAATAAAAGCCTAATACGATAATTTATTTTTATCGGTATTATTTTAAACTCAGATTATTTAATTTAATATTATTCAACGGTTATCATTAGAATAACCGTACGTTCTTATCCTTTCATAATAACCGTCATTATTGATCTAGAAAAGATCAATTTTTGGTTGAATGAACGTACATTCATTTTTTATCCCTTTTCTCTGTCTTCCCCAAAAACTCTAGGAACTCATGATCGTTAGTGCTAAATGCTCTTTGAGTGTATACATCTTTGTATCCCAAAAACATGTTCATTATAGCCTCGTTAGTACGGTGGAGCGGATAACGTTTTTAGGAAAGTGTCCTTCGCACACGCCTAGATCCATTATTTGTTTTTGTTGTTCTGATTAATTTCCACCAACATGTATGTGGGTGATTTGTTGATTGGATATATTCTCTATAATAGCCTTTTACTAGCAAGGGTTGGATTGCATACATCTGTATAAACTATTTTCATGAAATTTAGTTTGGATCATTCATTGCATTCCATTAGTTTATAATGCGTCTCTTGTCTCTTGGTGCGTCTTTCTTTCGCCTTTTGCATTCTTTTACGATTTGTATGTTGGAATATTTGTTTTAAGTTGTTAGTGGTTAGTTAAGTCCTAATGTATAGGTATTAGATATCTTAAGTAATAGTTTATGTTAGCGAAGTCATAAGAGTAATGGGTTTAGTGGATCAATGTTAGGCATGATCTAATGATCATGGGATCATGTTCCTTACTTTTAGCTTAGTTTGCACTATATATATGTTGCTATGTGGTTCGTTTTCATTGTTCAAAAAAAAAAAATGTAATACGTTTTCCAATGATTGAATACTTGAAAGTTCTTCTCTCTCCTTGCTCATTTGTCTGTTATTATAATTTCGACATTGTAATAATTTCGTGGTGATTTTTTTTTTTTTAAAATATGCCATCTCTCTTTATTGTGGAGCATCTCTCATTTAATTCCTGGGTTCCAAGCACATTGTAATTATTTTTATGGATTTGGCAATAGGGTACGTGCTAAATTTGCTTTGCCATTTTCTTATCCTTTATATTCAGAAACATTTTCTAAGAGATCTAAATTGAGCAAAGCACAAAGTTGGGTACTGAACTTTGGCATTTGTTTCAGATTGAGTACCCAACTATGAGTTGTTGCAGTTTAGGTACTAAACTTTGTACTGATCATCCTTGACTTGTTGTAGCCAGTTATCCAAGTGTTTAAGACATAGGCTGAAACGATTATACTAAGTTGCTAAGTTTGTCACTAATTATAGGGAAGGGAAGACAGTGGTCATGTAGGAAAGAAAAATGAATCCAAGTGACACGATTACTCCCAACTGTTGTAGAATGATCCCCTTGTACATCACTTGCATCTACAGCAGTTGACAACCGTTGTTAATAGCTATTTCTAACCATGTTGTTAATTGACATTTTTGTAGTAGTAATAGGGACTGGTGTAGGTCAAGATAAAATGAATCTGTTACATGTATCAAGTACAAATACTGTCTAATTAGCACGGTTAGCAGTAAGTACATCATAGACATCCTAAAATCACTATATTGTAGCAGCTAATTTTGGTCAGAATTGAAATGTAGCATTTTCAGATGGAATGGTAAACAAAACGAAGGCTACTACTCTAATATGGTATTGAAAAAAATGCCGACAACCATTCTAACAGCAAGAGTTGCACTATGTTTGGATAGAGATGAATGGATGGAAAGAAAGAGAAGAGAAAAGAAAGGATGCACCATCCTTTGTTTGGATACCTTATGCAAGGAGATAAGGGGAGGGAATTGGGAGGATCCATTCTCCTTCCCCTTTTAATAAACCAAATCCCTCCATTGTTGGAGAGATTTGGAAGGAAAATAAAAGGCCACCTTCTCCCTCCCCTCACCTCCCTTTCCCTTCCCTCTTTTTCCTTCCCCTCCCTTTCCTTCACTATTGTTATCCAAACATAGTGTTAATCAGGCTTTTTCCTCGTTGAAGTATCCTGTTGCTCCTTTGCAGAGGGAGCGGATAATTTAGCCTTTTTTTTTTTTTAATAAACTGTATTAACCGGTTACTTCAGGTAATTTTGCTGGAAAGTTAACTCAGGCAGGTTCAATACAAAGTTTAGTACCTAGTTTGCAACAACTGGAAGTTTATTACCCAATTTGCAACAAATGCCAAAGTTTAGTACCAAACTTTGTGCTTTACTCGATCTAAAATGTAGATTGATTACCGGGGGGGGGGGGGGGGGGGAATCTAATTGTATTTTTACTATATTGTATCTATATCTTACTACTTTGCTGTTGCCATTTTCTCTATCCATTTCATATTTTGTCTGTGTCCTAGTTGGTATGTATTCATTTTGAGTGATATTATGGTTGAATGCTTCACAGTTTGATTTTAATATTAGCTCACAGCCGTGCTGAATTCTCCTTATATGTAGTATTTTGCGGATAGAGATATATTCTGTGCTGGCCGTGTTGCTGAGGAAGATCTACAACGTGTTGCTGCTGCAACTGGTGGAACTGTCCAAACATCAGTCAACAATATAATTGATGAGGTGTGATTAGTTTGATTGCTTCCATTAGCATATAAAACAGATTTAAATTGTTTGTATACTGAGTAATCTTGGACTTTGAAAAGGTTCTTGGAATATGTGAGATATTTGAGGAGAAGCAAGTTGGAAATGAGAGGTTCAATATTTTCAGCGGATGTCCTTCTGGTCATACAGCCACCATTGTTCTTCGTGGTGGAGCTGATCAGGTGAGTGGCGGACTGCCTAGTATGCTGTTTAATTTTGCTATGTTCTCTTATTTGTGTTGATATTAATTGCTTGTGTCATTTCAGTTCATTGAAGAAGCTGAGCGCAGTCTGCACGATGCTATTATGATAGTTAGAAGAGCTGTTAAGAATTCTACAGTGGTAGCTGGTGGTGGGGCCATAGATGTATGTGATATTACAAGAAAGTTAATTCTGCTGTAGTCTAGTATCATTTTCTGTGCTGACTTGGGATTTAATTTTTCTAGATGGAAATAAGCCGTCACCTAAGGCAGCATGCCAGGACTATAGCAGGAAAATCTCAGCTTTTCATAAACTCTTATGCCAAAGCTTTGGAGGTTCGTCCTGATCTTGCTTTTGTTCTAATCGCTATGAAAAGCTTCTTTCCTATATAGATGTTTTTTTTTTTTTTTTTTTTTTTTTTTTTTTTTTTTTTTTTTTTTCATGGAGGCATGACCTGCATTGGAGAATTTGCAGCTCCAATCATTTCTTGCTTCTCATTATTGCATTATTGTATTGCTAACTTGCTATAGATATTAGTTCTGTATGTGCCATAAATTTTTCCTATTCTTTATCTATACTTCCTTGATTTATTGCAACTATTGCCTTTTGTAGAAATTTCTCATCTAATGCAATAATTCCAACTATTACTGTAAGTTATAACTTCAAAGTAATGGAGTTAAATATAAGTTATAACTTCATTACTTGATTACTTGACTATAAATTATAAGTTACTTTGAAGTTATAACTTACATTTAACTCCATTACTTGACTATTCCTGGGAGACTATCTTACATTTGAAGTTATAACTTTGCCCTATTCTATTAGCTTTTCTCTCATCTCCTTTCTTATAATCACATGGGTAAAGCTGGATCACCCTACCCCTTTTAGTTCTTCCTTAATCTTTGTGCTAACCCAGTTGTTTCAAACATGAAGGACAGAGGAAGTATGTTCGTCAAAGATGTTGCAAACTTTTACCATCTTCCTTTACTTTTTTATTTTTATTTTTTATTTTATTTTCTTAAATCCGGTTGCTTTTATATTTTGGATACTTCTCCCTTTACATGCAAGTTCTCCTTATATCAGGTAATCCCAAGACAACTTTGTGACAATGCTGGATTTGATGCGACAGATGTGCTGAACAAATTGAGACAGAAGCATGCGCTTCCCTCTGGTACTGTTGCTTCTATTTCTATGTTTGATGGTTTGACCCTATGATATCTCAAAAAGATCAAGTCTGCTAAATTGTTGAATGGTAGCTTAATCTATACTGTTTATTTGTAGGGGAGGGTGCTAATTATGGGGTGGACATCAACACTGGAGGCATAGCTGATTCCTTTGCCAATTTTGTTTGGGAGCCAGCAGTTGTTAAAGTATGTGTTGTTTCTGTTTGTGCTTGACAAAGCAAATTGTTTTTCTTTTTATTGTGCTAACATTATGCTGTTCCAGATTAATGCAATTAATGCGGCTACAGAGGCAGCCTGTCTCGTCTTGAGTGTTGATGAGACAGTGAAGAATCCCAAGGTAAATAAATCATGATATTGGTAACTCTACTGGTTTGTTGTTTAATATTTTGATGATTGATTATTCGTTGTATTAATTATTTTTATCATCAACTCAACATGTCTTGTTTTATCCTTGAGTAGTAGCACAAATCCACTTCAATCTACACATGCACTGTTCTCACTTAGGGAAAATGACTGGTTCCTTGTCCTAACTAGCTACAGCTCTTGCCCAGCTGCTTCGTATATTAGTGTAGTGCCAGGCTTTGATGTGGACGTCCCCACATTAAGGGGCCTTGTCAATTTTAGGAGGGAATGTGTGAAACTTTTGAGGACCCAGGTTATTGTGGGACAGTATTAAGTGATTTTCTTTTTCTTCGTGTAATGCAGTCAGAGAGTGCTCAAGGTGATGCTGCTGCTATGGGAGGTAGAGGACGAGGTGCAGGTGGATTCGGCGGTCGTGGACGAGGAATGAGAAGGCGATGAGCTTAATCCAGGGGATTGCGATCACGTAGGAGTTAGCTGAAGTTTTGATGTGATGCCATCCTGTCCGTACCATGTGAAGTTATCTGAGGAAGGGCAATGTTCAAGCATATCCTGTTAAGGGGAAGACAATTGCATATGGGCTAAACTAATTGTGCTCTAGAATGTCGGGTTTGTTTGAATCAAAATTGTGCTTCCCTCTGTATTGTGCTTCTTATCAGTGGCGCAATTAAATTCTAGTATTACTGCTTGATTTGAATATAATGTTGAGGGTATTGGGGAAGGTTTGAAAATTTTGTTTGTGTAGGGATCAGCCGGTTTGTCATTATTGGAACGCTCTGTTTTTTTTTGGGCAATGCTTTATGTATGTTAACATTTGCAACATACTTCATTTTATACATTTTATTTTAGGCACCTTTGTCAAGCCAATGCATAATTTTGAATATATTAATATCCTCAAATACGAAAGTAAAAAAAATAAATGAATTGATATTTTTAAAAGGAAATTTTGTATAAAAGCAACCATTAAATCCACTTTTTTGTCTAAAACCGCCCACAATAAAATTGCCCAAGACCACCAAAATTAAATTTTAAACGACACCTGACTCGTCTTTCCGGCATTGACTTGACCCACGTAACTTGCACATGACTTTTAATGACCCCCCTCCCCCTTTTGGTGTTTTTTTTTTTTTTTTTTCCCTTGGATATTTCTGGTCTTTCTCTTCTCTCTCTCTTCCCTGTTCTCTCTTCAATCTCCATTTTTACTTCTTAAGTTCTGAAATTCTTATCACCCATTATTGACTAGTAGCAACATCCTTTGAATTATCCCTAATTCGTATCCCACCTCAATAAAACATGTCATCCACAGGAAATTAACCCCACCTACACATTACCCATGCCACATCCTTACCATTTAGCCCCACCCAAAAATAGAGGTGGCTTCAATGGAGAACTTAGAGCTTGAGGTACGCTCCAATGGAAAATCAATTACCCCAATTATTATACCCCTTGTTTTTTTTTCTCATGAAATTGAACCACAACCCAAACCCTAGATCTACAAACGATCAACAACGAACTATCCATGGCAACAATGACCAACGAACAACCATCCACTCCCAAGTAGCTCCTAATTGGTGGTTCATACACTTGGATGTACTATGCTCATGACCGCATTAAAGAGAAAAGAACATATTATATAATTATAAAGAACATCGTGAATTTATAAAAGAACATATAACTGAAATATAAAGAACACATATGAGAAATAGTTTTTAAAAAAGTAAAAGATAATAACTAAATGTGTTTTACCAATAATTTAATGTCAAATCATTTCAAAATATTCCGATATCAAAAATTTCTCTATTTAAAATTATTTTCACACAAATATAATTCAAAATTTCATTCTTAAATTTCAAAAATTCAAATTTCAAAATATAAGAACATACTATTTATAAGTAAAAAGAACATAATTTGTATTATTATACCCAAAGAACATGATTAATTTATATACCTTAAAGAACATTATTTTTAATGTAAAGAACATAAACTTTAGACTCAAAAAACATATTAATCAAACTTAAAAAAACATATTTCATTGCAATTCAAAAATGATAAAAGAACATTCATCAGAATATGAAGAACATCATCTTCAACCTTAGAAAATAATACCAAAACAGAATAATAGATAAAAAATGAAAATACCTTTTCTCTCAACTACGAATTTGTCAATTACATTTTTCAATTAAAATAATGATTCATCGAAATGATAAAATCAACTCCGTAATAATATTAAATCATTTCGAAATTCAAAATTTACCGTGGTTTCCCTCTTTATAAACTCAATTTCTCTCTCTTAACAAAAAAAAATGAAATTTTTGTTTATCAAAAGTAATATGGGATGTAAATAATAAATCAATTCCATAAATCAAGGAATATAAATAACAAATCAATCCCTTTAACCAAGGAGAGAATTGTTTTGATTTTATTTTTTTTCGCTCGTGTACTTTGTATTTGTACACAATGTTCATTCCACTTTTTTATAACTCTTGTATTTTGATCGCGTGTACCATGAGCACGGTACACTCAGTTGTATGATGAAATTTTCAAGTAGCTCCTGTTGCCGCCGATGTTGCCGTATGGTCACCTATGGTGGTGATTATGGCAGATTACGAATTTATTTGTTACTTATTTAATTTAAAGAATTGAGTTCCTTTAATTTGGGGCAAAAAGGAAACAAAGAACATGAAATTGATTAATAATTAAAGACAATCAAGGGTGAGAGGAGTAGAAGATGAAGAAAGGTTAGGACTCAGGCCATGGAATGATGAAGTTGAGAGGATGGGTTTTAGAATATGGAGAGAGAAGAGAGGAAATATGAAAATGGAAAAAAAAAAAAAAAAAGGGGAAGTCACGTGCAAGGCATATGCTATGGTCAACGCCGGCAAATTTAGTCGAGGTCCAATTTTCGGTAATAGGTGGCATTTGACAACAAAAATTTTAATTTGGGTGGTCCTAGGCAATAATTTTTATTGCGGGTGGTTTTAAATAAAAAGGTGGATTTAATAGGTGGATTTAATGGGTGATTTTAGACAAAATTTCCTTTATAAAAAATAGATGTTGAGATGAATCTTACAAGATACCATATCACTCTCTTTTCTTCAAATAGTTCTAGTTAGATGAGCTGATCACTTTTAATGAACTACGTAGTATATGATATGCTAAACCAATGAGGGAATTTTGGGTGAAATGGTTATACAAGGCGTTGCATGGGAGAGTTGCCTATATAGGGGTGTGCAAAACATCTTGATAATCTAAAATTGACCCAAAATCGAAGAAAACTAAACTGAAAAGTAGGTCACCAATACAAAATTATAGGATCAGGTGACTATCGTGTTAGGTGACTTTCAACTCTATTGCATCTTTACTATTTCTCATGGTTTACAGATTCCTTTATTATACATAAGACGGTTAGCGGCTCATATGAGCAATCGCCTTATACCTTCCTCGATATTCGCATTAAGACTCTTTGGGGATTTTATTTCCTCAATTTATTGGGGATCGAGAGTACTCCCTCTCATGAATTTTTTTGACTAGGCTTCCCTTATCTTTATAGATATACCACGCTTGCTTGAAAACTAAAGCTTTGTTATATGCAAATAGGTTTTGAATTGCCAATCTAATGTCGCCCTTTTTCCTTCTCTCCTCTCGCTTCTTAATTGTCCTTTGCATTTACCGAGCAGAACTTGATGCACATTAATGAGATCCTTCCAGTAGACACCTAAAAATGTCTCCTCAATCGAACTCGATTATGAGTAATAACCTTTTATTTCCATTTGGTTCGAGTAGAGCGTTAATTAAAAATATACTTGGTTTTATTTAATAATAAACCCAAATTATTTCATTTTTCTACCCCATTATTTCCTTTTATTTTATGCAATCTTTTTTATTTAATCCTTTTTCTTAATTTCCAAGCCCAATCTATCTATTAACCAACCCACGTACTAATCCACGCTTAATAGGAAGTTCTAAAACTCTTAAAACGAGAAAAATAACGTCGTACAAACAGATAAATTTCATCTGAAAATGCGTAAAGTATAAAACCCGGATGTTCCTCGAAAATTCCGGATTTTGCTCGCCACACCAGCTCCCGGTGCGACGCGCCACGCCTTGCCGCGTCGCGACATTAAATAGGTTTATAAATTGGATTAAATGATTTTTGTTTGTTGTTCCATTGGACGACTTTGTATCTATCATTTTTATACAACTTAGTTATTTTGATACTTCATTCCTCTGTTTTGTTTTTTTTTTTAATTTTTTTTATGTATCACTGTCTATAAATGACATTTTAATTTAGATGCGTCACTTTTCAGTTTGACTAATAAATTATTTTTATCACTCTCATATCACATGGGTTCCCTTTATAATTTTTTTTTCTCTTTATCTCTCTCTACTCTAAAAATTGTCTACAAGTCTATAATAACAAAAATAATGCATCTAAAAAAGGGGAGAAAGTACCTTTTTTGCTAAATTCTTATGACAAATAATAAGAAAAGTAAATAATGACATGAAAAATTGAGGAAATAAATATAGGGGTATTTTATATGAAATATGTACATGCCTATAGTAAAACTAGGTAAAGCAAAAATAAACGTATCGAAAACATTCACAACATTTTGGGAAATTGGATAATCATACATGCACTATATTACTCCATATAAAATAGAGGGAATAGTTTATTTTAAAATTGCTTATTTTTTTGTTACAAGTTACTTTAAAAAGGGTAATACCTTGAAGGTTATATATAAGCATTAAATACACTCTTGAAAATTGTATAAAATTAGGAATTTATGATAAAAACACATGTAAATCAGTGTAATTAGTGTTTATATTTTCATGATGTCCTTAACTTTATATGTAGCCCATAAGAGATAGAGATATATATAGCATTTTCCTTTTAAAAATACTTTATTGCTAATATCATTCACAATCAAGATGGTTTGAATGTTTGGTACATGGAAGCCCATCTGGTATTGTCTTCCAAAGTATATCCAAATTATTATTCCAATCAGACAAGATTTCTGTTATATTATGAAAATGAAATGATTGTTGATTCACTTAAAATGTGGTGGTATAAGATCAAATTTTTTTAACGATTTTGTTTTAAGGGTAATGTTATTTGTAATCCTGATATTAGTTTAGAATATATAACAAAATCATGCATTTAGTATAATTAATGAATATATCTCATTAATACTTTGTTTTTTGGCTTTTTATACATAACCCTTAGAGCTATGAATAACATTTTCCTTGTTTTAATAGTAGAGCCTGTTACCTTGAATTCAAAGAATTTTCAATCAACCTCTTAATTTGAATTCCTTGTCAAATACGAGTAGTATTAGATTTTTCTAATGCGTAATTAGAGATAATTATGGCCAAAGATTTGCATTGAGAAACATTCATAATTAAAAAAACGAAGATAAATATGAAACGGAGAGAATACAATATAAGAAAATAAATACAAGTACTCCACAACATTATTATGTTTTGTATCAATTGATACCACAGATAATAAAACTAGGGATTTGTTAAACATCGCCCACAAATTACTACATAAAGCCCACAAAATTCACTTGGTTTGACAATATTGCCCTTGACCTAAAAAAAAAACACTCACACTCTCATCGCTCATCTTCTTTCAACCTCTCTAAACAAAAAAAAAAAAAATTTCAAACAACGGCAATGTTGAGGCGGCAAGGCAAGGAATTGGCTGCGGCGGCGGAGGGAAGGAGGTCCCAAGGAGGCAAGGTACAATTTGTAAAAAAAAAAAAAAAACCACCGTGACGAGGTGGGGCGCCCTGGCTGGACGCCCAGCCAGCGGTGGTGGCGCCAGCTGCAGACGCCGCCACCAGTAGGCT